GCGATAGTAGCAGATAGAGTAGAATTATGCACTGGAGAACTATTATCAATATTTAACATGTTGTTACACATTATACGTCTTTTTATATGACAAATCTCAAGTAATAATGTGTGTTTTAACTGCAATTTTGTATCTATAAATTTCTATGCACTACGTCAAAACGATAATTAACTAAAACGCAAAAACTTGCAACATTGTATTTTAACTTTTAAGTGTACTTTATTTGTATTTTATTTTTAATTACCTCCAGAGTCGATAAAGATCGATCAATTGTGTGACGTATAACATCGGTTATACTTCTACATCAGTTATTAATTAATATGATATACTTGCGTGGATAGTTTTGTTAGTATATGATATTCCATTTAAAAGTAGTAAGGTATTAACTCGGGTATTAACTAGTCATTACACCAAAAGTATTATTTTGAAAGGCTATATTTTAGTTAGCAGATATACAAATATTTTTGTTTTTTCTTATTAAAAATAAATTATTCATGAAATAGAGTCAGCATCGCTTTTAACACTAGACTATATGCATGGCCAAGTATTCCTGACATTTGAAGGTTAAAAAAAAAATTTACCTTTTCAATTTAATTTGAAAGGGATACTTTATAAATATAATTTTAACTTGTATTATACACTTTTGTAGGGAAATATATACTTTAGTAGTCATCGTAGGTTTGAATTCTATCATTTCGTGATAAAATATTATTTTTTTTTCTGTTCATATTACTATAATAATATACAACTTTTAAATAAAACTTGATGGGTTCAAAAATATTTTATAAATATTACTACATCTTACAACAATGACAAAATTAAAACTTTTTTTAAACACTCCCTTTTTAAAATATTAAAAAATTCTATTTTCATTTAAATTTTATTCTAGCTTTTATCAATACAACGTACACCCTTAATATTTTATTTCTAATTATACATATACTAATGTGAGAAGTAACCTTTGCAATTAATATAATAATATTATATGTAAATAATATGTATATATAATATATATATACTAATTCATCAAACTTAAATGTCAACAAATTAATTTGAACTGCTGTATTGAGTGTTTTTCATGAGAAACAATTGTTTTTTATGATTAAATAATTCAAATTGATAATTACTTTTATTTTTATTTCTGTCTTGGCTAAAGCATTCATATATTTATATAAAATATATTATAATATACAAAATATTTCAAGACTTATAGCACTTTTAAGAATGTAACAGTTAATAAGAAATAATAAAAATATGTTATTGTTATATAAATAAAAACTATACAATGAATTTTATTGAATAGAAATATGATAAATCGTCGTAATTTTATTTGAAAAAAAAAACACTAACCAGTCTAAAACTGGTTCGTATATCTATCATCCTTTAGCTTGTAGTTAGTTTGGTTTTTTCTTTGATGTACTATCTTGAATACAGAATGCATCTCCCCTCCCTCCCTTATTCACTGTCAGCTCTGCATACTGAATAACATTTATCGATTTTAAAGTGTAAAAAATAAAATGTTCATTTTTTTTTTTATCTCGGTTTCATATGATTTAAACGGAATCATTGACGTTTGAGGTTTGTTGGAACGTATTGAAGTATTAATAATTTTGAACTATATTTCCTTTTCAACGTCAAAATGCGTTTGCCATTTCCGTTTCTTTTTCTCGGTCAAAGTGTTTTTTTTTTTTTTTGTTGTCGATTAAATTAAATTTTTTTTAGCCTTTATAAAAATGGCTGTATAGAATTTTTTTTTCCATTCATTACTCTACGTGACGAGTGACGACTAAGTTAATTGAAAAACTGTACAGTTTGAACGTGACAAAAAAATAAGAGTAATAATTTTGTATTATATTTTATGTATATATTATATAAAATAATTATAGAATACGTTTTTGTAATAATTTATTAAGTACGACCTGGTGATAAACTTAAAAAGGTTTGAATGGTCTGATCTGACGTGTCATCATCAAATTATTGATTTTCTTTTTTCCTTCAAGTTGTATCGTTGTAATCGTGATAGGTAATTAATTCGTGAAGCACAATAGTATACTAGAGTGTCTATTAAGGTTAACATTGACTGACGGATGATTAATACATTTTTGCTTTATTGCAAAGTTGTGTATAGGTGCTTTGGCCAAGTACCGAATAGATGGATGCTAAGGAAAGGGACATTTAAGTAATAAATATAATACATCAAAATGATTAATGTATGCCAAAAGAGAGTGTCTACAACTAAATGTTATCAATTTATGTTCTGCTTTTAGACGTAAAAAGATAATAAACGATATCGTGTATCCGCTCGACTCGTGTTGTAATAGCGTCGTATAAGACATTTAAAAATAAAATCTCACGTCATATAGTTATAAATACAATAAAAACATTAACTCAGTCATTTATGTATGATCAACTTGAGTAATAATTTTTTTTTACATAAACTTTGTGAAAAAAAATAATGTATAACATATTTCTATTGACTATATAATATGCCTAATTACACAGCCAAATTTACTTAATATTTAATATGATTCATTGCTTAAACTAAATTTTAATCGTTAGCATTAAATTTAATCCTTGTACTTAATTTTACTTGCAAACGTAAATAATTTAAAATTATTATTGTAGTTTACTTCTATGTGTATAGTACAAATATATGGTATCGTTATAGTACTATTACTTTACATGTCTTATTATTAATAGTCGTAAATATGTTCAGATATACATTTTAGCTACATTGTTATTCAACTTACGCTAATTCATTATTTATACAGTTCTACAGAAAGTTTACAGTTATGTACATTTTATTAGAACATTTAATGACCGACAATATTAAAAGAGAATTATTGTATGTGTTTTGTACCGTCATTTCATATGATGTTCATTCATGCACCACAACGCCATATAAATATTAAACAAACTGTTAACATTTTATTTTCAGATATTTTACTGTTATTAAATTATCCACAGAATGTGCAAAAGTATTAATTATGATTTAACACTTATTTTGTTATTCTATAAAAAATTAAAATGTTTTAACGACATAAAATAATTATAAAAACTTCGTGAAAATTAAAATTATTTTATATGACATCTCATTTCTCATTTAGTTATAAAAAATACTTAATCTTAACATACTATCATAATTCGAGGAATTTCAAAAAGTAATATTTAGGTTTTAAGTACATTATCCTGTACGTGAATTTTTAAAATACATTATTTTGTATACCTACATATTGTTAAATACCTAACATAGTTAATATTTAATCAATATTCATGACAACTTCGTGTGCTACATAATGTTAAGATTCAACTATATTATACATATGCAATATACCTTACCTACAGTTGTTTAAATATATGTACAGCTATTTATACATTGAAAAACTATATATAATGTACTGTTAATATAATTCAGAAAACTTAATACTACTTTATATTATTTCTTATGTACTTTTATTAAAATAACTCATATTTTTAAATCACGATTCATAAATTTACCTAATTCTTAAAATACATGATTGAGATTGAATAAAAAAGCCAACACAACTATTTTATTGTATCAAACAACAAAAAAAAAGTTACAAATTTTTAAATATTTATTCCAAAAGTCATTGTTGTTTTTTGTTACATTCGAGTTAAAACTTTGAACATAAAAAAACTGAAATAATAAAATATAAATACATTCAAAATTATTTTTATTTTTTAGTAATCTAATATTTCGTTAGTAAATAAACCCTTAAGAGGGCTTTGCTACCTCACCCCTGAAATTAAAGAAAGTGTACAAATTATAGTTATAACAAATTTATTTGTGGTACAAAATTTCAATAAATGTATATTAATAATCAATAATTTATAAACACTTATAAACCAAAATAATCGTGATAGATGAACTCCGTCGTTGATTAATAATAATCGAAATATCTATAAAATATAGTTTAATATATTTAAAAGCTTAAGAGCCAAGTACGGTCAATGAATGAGTGTATAAGTTCGAATGATAAGTGAAAATATTGTAATCAAGCGTTTCTAAAAATATTGTACTTCTTCATCTATACATAAACTTAAACGTTATTCGTATAAACCTGGACGAAAATAAATTTGTATTTTGATTTGGTAGGTAGAGTAAAACTTCATTTTAATGTAAAAAAAATCATTTTATCAAAACACGATACAATTATTGTACACATTAATAATAGATACTTAATAATATACATTTGTTTGGTTTTCATTGCGATTTCAATAATAATAAAGAAATAACGAAAAAATTTAATATAAAAAAAAAAAGAAAATGTTTATTATTTATTTTCTTCTACTGTGAATTCCGTTGTTGCGATTACGGTGTTGTTCGTTCTTGTGGATATGCGTCATTGACAGATTAATGTTGCTCACGCGGATGACAGCTCCGAAAATGTCCCGCGACAGCAGTACGATTCGGATACGTGACATTACTGCTGTGACAGGACAATATCGGAGTGATATCCATTAAACGTTGTCGTCGTAATGAGTATTTCGCTGTCGAACGTCTCTCCGAGCCGTGTCGCTTTGTGCGCCATTTTGTAGTCTGCGAAACCCTGCGAAACACGCATACGTGATATTATATCATATATTGTTGTAATAAACGATTTTTAGATGGTTTTTATTATTATAATTATTATTATACATTTTTTATTATTTACATATTATTAGAGCAAAGTTTTTGTAGACTTACCATTTATGCTGTTGTTGTTTTGACGTAGCTGTTGTTGGTTATGATTGTATATGTCGCCGTAATGTTGCTGTCTATCATCGCGTACATCTTGCGTTGATATGATTATGTAATCGATATTACGATCGCAATTCTTCACTCGTAGACCTACGTAAAAAAAAAAAATGTATTATTAATAATATAATAATAATAATAACGAAAAAGAATAATATATTATATTTAGCGCGTATACAATTATTTTCGTGTGTCGTTCAACGCAACGTTCTAACATTATATATTTTTTTCGTGTGTATAGTTTGGGAGTGGATCAAATGGCTACGTTGGCCGAACACGCGGCTGACTTCAGCGGCATGTTGGCCGCGAGCGGCATGGGCATGCCGCAGCCGATGACCGCCGCCCCAGTGCCGCTCGCCTTGCACCCGCACCATCAGTCGGTGCGCGGCCCGTTGCCGGGCCTTGTAAAAATCGCTCAGCCACAACCGACGGCCGTGTCGGCGGCCAACAAAGCGGGTTCGCCGCTGCAAAACGGCAACCAGTCGGCTCAAGACGTAGCGGCCGTGGTGGCCGCGCAACAGCAACAGCAACAACAGCAACAGCAACAGCAACAGCAACTGCAGCAGCAGCAGCAGCAGGCCATCATCGGCGGCGGCAAGCAAAACGGCGCTGTGCCGGTCGAGCAGATGGTTTCGGCGCCTTCGCCCAGCGGCCGGTCCACGCCAAACAGCAGTACAGAGGGCACGTCGGCCAAACTGTTCGTCGGTGGTCTCAGTTGGCAGACGTCGGCCGACAAGCTCAAACAGTACTTTGGCATGTTCGGTGACGTGACCAACGTGCTCATCATGAAGGATCCCATCACGCAGGTGAGGACGACTTGTCATTATATCTCTGTCCCGCCACAGGATAACGTGACGGAAGTATTGTTGTCTTTATGAGTATTTTTTAAAATTTTTTTTGTTTTCGTTTGTTTGTTTCTCGCAGAGGAGTCGCGGTTTCGGATTCATCACGTTCTCGGACGCTGAGACTGTGGAAAAGGTGTTGGCCGTGCCCATACACACGTTGGACGGCAAGAAGATCGATCCCAAGCACGCGACGCCCAAGAATCGCCCGAAGGCTGGCAGCAAGACCAAAAAGATATTCGTAGGCGGCGTCAGCCAGGACACCACCGCTGACGAGGTGAAGGCGTACTTCAGCCAATTCGGCAAGGTGGAGGAAACAGTGATGCTGATGGACCAACACACCAAGCGTCACCGCGGCTTCGGGTTTGTCACGTTCGAGAACGACGACATAGTGGACACAATATGCGAGATTCACTTCCACACGATCAAGAACAAGAAGGTGGAGTGCAAGAAGGCACAGCCCAAGGAGCTAGTGCAGCCAGCGGCCGCGGCCGCCGCAGGCCTGTTGCTGGGCAAGCGCCCCGTGTTGGTCGGTGGACCGCTCGGCGTCCGTGTGGCCGCCGCTCCAGTGACACAGGCCAGCCACCAGTTGGCGGCCGTGCAACAGGCTCAGGCACAGGCCCAGGCCCAGGCTCAAGCCGCCGCGGCCGCGGTGGCCGCGCACAACTACAACAAGCTGTTCGCCACGTACCCAGGACTGGCCAGCTACCGTTACGCCCCGTATCCAGTTCCGGTGTCCGCAGCCGCGGCCCCGCAGCCAGCAGCCGCCGCCCCGCAACCGGTGCCCACAGCTGCCGCGGCCACGCAGGCCGCATATCCGGCGTACAGCCTGTCCGGCATCGACATGAGTGGCTTCCAAGGCATCGACTGGTCGTCCATGTATGGCATGGGTGGCATGTACGTTTAGGTCCGTTTCAACCCTTATTGCGCGCGTCCTGTGCTGTTTGTATGTTGTGTGTTGGTCAGGTCAATTTTTTTCGCGTAAATGAGAAAACCGAACAAATAAAAATAAAAACGAAAAAACATTCTCTTGTTGCTCAGATACATTCTATCATTGAAATTATTTTTTTAATATTCAACCAAAAAAAAAATCTAAAAAAAAAATCCCCCATCTGAATCCTCCTCATCCCAGCCCAAACCCAACCGCGTTTCATTATCTTTTTTTTTTTTTTTTTTTTTTATTCAAAATCGACGAGGCTGTCAGCCAGATCTTCGGAGATCAATCCGCGCGTGTGCCATACCACTGCCTCATTGTCGTGAGTTATTTTTTCATCGGATAAAACTAACGATTTCTAGTCAGAGTTATCATTAATATTAATTAATTATTATTATTTTTTATGTATTATTATTACTATCAATAATTATTATTAATTTTTAATAATTCTCAACTTTCTAATAGTAGTGTGGTTAGTGTCTAAATAACGTGTAATTAATTAATTAGTTAATGTATTATTTTGCTCTTTAATAAAAAAAAATTCCAATGATCAGTAGAGAAAATACATTCCATTAAGGACCAAAGCTCACAAGCATACATCATGACAATTTTTTTTAAATACCATTTCATAAATTATATTCTTTTTTTCTCTATATATTTCATTCTCTCTCTCTCATTATGCATGTATACGTATATTTAAATATTGTATATAATATGTGTATACATGCATATACATGATAATTATAAATCTTTCGCTTCTTATATCAAATGCTTTTTTAAAATCAGATTTACTAACTTGCTCTAGTTTTATAGTAGTTTAACTTAGAGAGATATCATAAAGTACGAAAATGTATAACAAAAACAATAATTCTTATAATATGTATATATATTTTTTTGTTTATTTTCTCACTACTTATTGTATACTTAAATCAGTAGAAAACAAGACATTGGAGTTGTTCAACAATTTAATTTTAGCTGTCCGCCTTAGTGATCAATCGTACATTGTTTTTTTTTTTTTTTTTTTTTTTTTTTTTTTTTTTTATTGTCTAAGTAATGAAAATCTCACGAGTTCAATATTTAGTTAGACACTAAAAGAGTTAAAACGTATAATATTATCTACTATGAATACAATAATTTAATTTTTCAGCGCGTTTTAGTTTTTAGTTTGTTAGAATTAAACAAGTAAAAGTTACGAAAAGCACTGATTCGACTGGACAATACTAATTAGAACATTATTATATGTATGTAAAGCAATAATACTTAAATGGTTATTGATCTCTTTGTTTATTTATATATATTTTTTTTTTTAAATCTTTTTTTAGTATAGTTTTACTCTAGTGGTAAGCCCTCTATTTTTGTAATATTTTGAGAGTTAATAAAAAGGAAGACAAAGCAATTATACGAAAGAGGGTTAGCGATGCTTTTACATACTCCGGTTTTGTGTCGTATCCTAGACCTAGACTTTTTAGTACATTTAAAAACCTATTATAGGTGTATATTTTTAATGTCGAAGTCATTTAGACTTGGTGTGTATTTTAACAGTATTTTTTAGTTTAGTACTTTTTTTTGTAGCGTAATATTATTAACTACTATTTATTATTAAATATATATATATATAGCTGTAAGAGTATTTAAGTGTACACTTTTTGACATTTTTTTTTTTATTATTATTATTATTATTATTATTATTATTATTAATTTATTTAGTTTCTGTGTAGACATTCTCTACTATAATATATTCGTGTGTAGTCCTACATATAGAAAAAAAATCGTAAAAAAAAAATTATTAACAGTAGTTTTAGATACCTCTATATACGTGGATCCTTCGTATCTTTTATTATTTACAATTATTATCATTATTATTATTATTTTTTATTAACAATTTAGTTCTTTACGCACTCTAGTAGTTAAATGTTTAAAAATGCTGTGTTGTTTACATTATAAAACGGAAATAAATAAAAGTAGTATTTGTCAGTAGAAAATCCGACCGATCCGCTTTTGGTTATTTAATTTAATTTTAGATTTGTTTTTTTTTTTAGATCATTATTATTTAATCCATATACATACATGTGTGTGTATATACACACACATTTATGTATTCGAGTTAAGGAAATAATCGTATATGAAAAAAAAAACAATCTTACTATACTCTCATCCTAACACCACACTACCGTATTGTTGTTGTACTACCAATATCTATCTATATACATATATATTTTTATATAGATATATGTATACTATTACCTATGTACTAATACTAAATTTTATTATACATATATTATTATTATTATTATTATTATAATATATTGCATGCGTATGACCGTACGAGTGATATGTAGGTATATATCGCCGTGTACGGTCCGTCCGCGTTCCACGTGGGGTGAGATTAGTCTCTCTCTCACTCTGTCTCTCTGTCTCTCTGTCTCTCTGTCTCTCTCTCTCTCTCTCTTTCCCTCAACCTCTCCTGATTTCAGCATCAATTGAGTATTTGTGTGTACGTTACACACTAAACATATACAATTATTCTATTATACCATAGAAGCCATCTGTTGTACATCAACACCAGCTACATAATAATATTAAAATTTAGACAGTAGAGTGATATTACATATTATTATCATTATTAACCCTATAACCGTTGTTGTTGCTGTTGTTATTGTTGTTGTTTTTTTGTTGTTGTTTGAAGTAGTTAAAAATATTACTAACCCATTAGAAGAATACAATATATTTAAATATACCTAACATGTATATCATATATAATATATATATAGTATATAATACGTAAACGACTGCTCAGTATAATAATAATATGGACTTATACAATATTTGTGTCGTAATATTAAATAGTATAATAATTACGTGCCGCTGAAATTAATCCCGGACCATATATATATATATATTATACACGTATATAACATTATATTATTAATACGTAGTCGTATTATCGTTGTGGTTGTTACATTATTATCGATAATGCAGTATTCGTGTATTATTATTAATATGCATTATTTTTCGTGGCCGTTATGCAGCGTATTATTACACTATTATTATGACGTGTAATGTGCTGCGAGCAAACGAAAACAAAAAGAAAAAAAAAAATGAAAACGACATTTTGGTTTTAACAGAACGTGTTGAACGAAAAGTTTAATTTTTTTCACGCATATACAACAATATTAAGTAAAAATAATTTTTTAATAATATTTATACACATATTTTGTATACCTTCGCCTATTTTCGACAGTGGTGTCGCGCTCGGGTCACACAACTGACGAGAACGACAAAAAAAAAATTATAGTTTTATATATACACATTACACACACACATTTAATATAATATAATATGATACAATTAATGATTATATCAATAATTACTCTTTCGGCTGGTACGGTACTAGAGATTTTTTTTTTTTTAAATTTGTTTTTGTTTTTACTCACTATATTATAACTGTTGCGTTTGCGGTAACGGATTCTGATGATGTGTTGCGTAGAAATTAATAATTATTACTGTTGTGTTGTTGTCGCCTTAAATTCTATGCGGCCCGCACGACTGACTGCAGGTGATGAGTAATAACAATAATATTATAATAACGACGGTTCGTAATATCTCAATATTACTGATCGTCGTTATTCGTATTATTATTACTTATGATTTCCGCGTGGAACACACGACCGACGATGTCCGAACGGCTCTCCGGAGATACGACATCGACGGGGCCCACGTTTCACCTGTAGAACAGAAAAAAATAACATTAATAACGTTTGCAGTACATAATAATTGTAATACACATAATATTATTATTATTATTATTATTATTATCATCGTTAGTCGACGCTTTTTGTAGACTCGTATCACAATAATATACATATTATCTGCTGCGTATAATAATATTATATTACTGCGAATTTGGCAAAATACGAAAAACGGAAAAAAGTCAAATTGCTACCGATTTTCTTCATTATTAAATATTTTAGTGTTCATGATGGATGTGTGTGTGTGTGTGTGTGTACGTTTACGATTTTGTGTTTAGTTCTACGACGGTTCAACTACTTACGAAGACAACTCCGACCGCGACAGCAGCTACCGCCGATTTTGGTTCCCCTGCTCAGATATATAAAGTTTATAAACGTGTGTGCCATAGGTAAGTATGGTGTATACATTTTTTTTTTCTTACAGACAACAGGACCGGACAGCGCAATAACATTGTTATACCACCGTAAAACGATATAAATTATGGAGAGGTATTTTTAACATAACGCATTACGACGATCGTCTTTGAAACCGCGATGAAACCTTAACTCTGTTCAACAGATTCGTTGGCGAAGCGGTACATCGCTTGTACATATAATTATAAATAATAATAATAAAAAAAAAAAAAAATAAAGTGAAAAGTGACGAGCACTGTTAATCAAAAATAATTGAAAAATTTTAGAAATTTTTTTTCTTTCAAAAACCGGCCTAATTTAATATACTACTATTATTATACTATACTAAACTATATCCGTAGCTCTTAAAAAGTCGTAGTTGATGCCGATTGCATGTGTTTCCACCATTGTTGGAAGTAGTTTTTAAGTAGACATGACATATATTATATACCTACATATTATAAACTAACACCAAAATAATAATTATTTATGTTAATATAGTCTAACAACGGGTCTCGTATTTATTTCGTTTTATCATTATAATATATTTAGTTATGTGCCAGTTTTATTTTCACATTCTTTTCTGTGCGCTTTTAGTATTATGAATTTTATTCAATTTCACTCGTGTATATTGTAATATTTCGGGGGGAAATCACTATTCACGTCCTTTCCCATTATATCTGAGAAAAAAATGGATAAAATCATGTTATATTATATATTATATATTATTATTATTATTATTATTATTATTATTATTACTATTATAATTATTATTATCATCATAATTATTATATTATTATATATTGCTCAAATAGTTTAGCGTGTAATTAATTAATATTTAGGTGTACCATTTTTTTTACATATTATATATTTATACAAAAAAAAATATATATATATATATATAAATATGTATGTATGTATATATAAACACTTAGTTACTATTAATGCCAAACTAGTGGCATAGCGTACAGAAACCTATTTAGTTTAAAACATTAATTTATTTAATTTACGTACCTAATATATATATATTTATATATAATGTAATGGACGGAAGTAATATTTTAGAATTTTTTCTCGTTCAATGTGTAATTTTTATAGCAATCTTAAAAATTTAGGCATATTTATAATACGTATAATATATATCTATATATGTATATATATATGTGTGTAAATATCTTCACTGCAATAATACGAATTGTAAGATATTTACCTAGTTATATATTTATATATATATATATGTATTATACATATTATTATTTATATATATAACAATTTTTTTTTACTATTATCATTATTATTATTATTATTATTATTATTAATACGATCTTTGAAATATGTAAAATTTGTGATATTTGAACCTTGTACTAGTCGTTTTTTGATCTAGTCTTATTTTTAATCAGTATATATATTTTACTAATTATTTACGGATTTAATTAATATATCAAATGTCGTGACATATTATTCAAACTTAATATTCGTCGTTTGTAAGTCTTCCTTTGTAATAATAAATTAATACGAAACATCATTAGTGAGTATACGAGTAGCACCTAAACCATGACTGTCTAAACAATGTAAATCAATATGTTATTTTTTATATAACAAGATATATATTTAGACGTGTATTTAATCAATATAACTTGTGTAAATTTTGTACAACAATTTTTTTTAGGCTAGGTCTAGTCATGTTTGGTTAGTCGCCTAGAATCAATAAATATATAAAATATATATATACATATATATATTCGTATTTGTGGTTAGCTTAGGCGTAGATGATGTGATTAGCGTTTGTATTTATTATTATTATTATTATTATTATTATTATTACTATTTTTTTCTGTTAGTTCGAAAAAATTACTTTAAAATACATTTTTTACCCCATAAAAAATAAACATAAACGTGGTTTTTTTATTGCAATTATAATATTGTGTGCTACATCTTACCTTATACTTTTAGATTATTAGCTAACATTTCAAAAAAACGTACTCATCTATACATTAATGTTTCCTACATAATATCTGTTTGCGTTTTTTTAATGATATTATATTTTATTTAATATGATAATGTGATGTACGATGTACCTAAACATTTTTATGTATGTCTAACATCCAACAATATGAATGGTAAGTTCAAGAAAACGTTATTGTAACCGGATACTTTTTACCTTGCTGCAGACCAACATAACGAATAAGACCAACGAGTTTTTATAAAAGTGTGACTAATATGAAATAAATTTTATAATAGAATGATCTTTATTCCAGAATTGCGTTCAATCGACGAGAAATCAGTTTTTTAGTATACACGTAAAATTATCATTAAGTAAATAAATTATATTAATGCTGTTACACTTTTATAACTAAATATTTTTTCATTGATACTATTTTGTATTGTTGTGCATTTCTTTTTTATGAATTTTTCAGGGTCTTTTACGTATGCATAATAGTGGTCGCCGTTAAACCCAAAGGAACGAAGAAAACAGTTCTCATAATACTTTCGATACATGTCATATTTTTTTTTTTTTAAATAAATTGATCTTTTGAAATACTAAATATATATTAAAACGCATTTCGGCTCTTTATACTTATGACTCTGCAAACGTACAAAACGCTTAATTATATTATATTATATTATTAAGTTTAAAATCCTAGTCTGCAATAATATTATTGTTCAGGCTACTTAAGAATTCATGAAATGAAACGTTTTTTTATAAAATGTAAACTTAATTATGTTATTTTAAACGACTATGTACCTACTTACCGAACCGAAATCATGCGGTCGATTAAACAATTTACAACAAAGGTAGGCATCGTCGTCTTAAACGTAAAATCTCTTTTTATCGTCGTAGATAAATACTTCAAACGGCAAATTGTATTGGATACAAACAACAAATCTAATCGCTTTGAAATTTTCTTCTAAACTCATAAAATACAATAATAATACGAATAATCATGGACAGTTTCGCCTATCTTGAGAGTTGCTACAGAATGAAATTATTTAATGATATTACTACGATTGCGGTTGGATATAGTTCACGTTATATTATAAAGCTAGTTCCTACCTACCCCACTAAGTAATCATGCTTAAAAACTCAATATAATTTATATTTATATTTATTTTATAATTTAATTAAAACTTATAAATTCAAAATAATAGACACATATATTATAACCCCTCCCTCTAACTAGTTAACTTTTGACATGCTATCTAGTCGTTTATAATTTCGAACGAAATTCCCAAAACGATAATATTATTATTCTTTATAATAATTGTTTTTTTTTTTAAAAAAAAGATTAATTAAATTCAAATATTGATAACAGCTGAAAAAAAACAAAAAAAAGGTATTTCCCAGTGGTATATAAAATATGTATACAGACATTACAGACATGTGCACCGTTTCTTCTGCCTGTACATGGTCACACGCGATGCGTCCTAAATGTGTTTAAACTAAAACGATCTACACTTATTACGAGGTCAAGTCTGCAGAGTTCCTCAGAAATATTAGGATTAATTTTACCGAAAAAATGTATTATAAACCGATAAAATATATTCGTTTTATACGTTTTAGCTCTAAACTAGATATATGCTTGTAAAAGGTATCAATATATAATAAAAGGCACATCGTTTCTGGGGGCTGTGAAAATTGATTGTTTTCTACTACGGTGTATTAAATTATTAAAGTCTAAAATAAAATTTTTATTTTCGTATGCAACGTTAAATTTTAACCTTCATCTAAGTATACCATGATATCCCTTTTAAAATCGATTTATGCACGAACTAGATAGCACATTAAATTGTATGTGGGTAAATATTAAAATTACTTCTACTGCAGGAAGAAAAACTTCCTATGCGTCGGCCAAAACACTAATAAGAACGATGATACGAATTGAATGCGAAGAAAATATAAATTTAAGTTACTGTCGAGTTATTTGTTCGTTCGTTCGTCATTAAATCCGTATACAAATTTAATGTATAATATATTTCTATTTGTATTGTAAACAGAAGTGGGTATACCTATACATTTCTGAACACGGAGGTGAAGTGACTGCAGATAGCGAGACTTGAAAGCGTGTAGATAGGTACCTATATAGATAATACGAGTCACAAATACAACGTTGCAAATATGCAATATGGACTTTGTTTGTGTAAGTCTACGTGATAAATGACAATACATTTAATGTACATAAATAGGTATATGGTACGGAAATCCAATTGACATCGGTACGCCTGTACGTCTGTATACGTGCGACAACAACAAACACAATACGAAAAGAAGGTAATAATAAGGTACCCAATAATGTGTACTTATAGTGATCGATGGTAACGATATAAAAAAAAAAAAAAAAAAAAAAAATGAAATCGTAAACCTAAACCATCTAAAAAGCGAAATAAATAAATATTTGACTAGTTTACTCTGACTTGTGTAGGAAGATAGAATATTTTATAATATATTACACCTGCAACAGTATCCGGACGTCGTCTCGCACATTGTTGCATAATATGTATATCCGTCAAAGCTGTTAAAAATTGCACGGCCGTCAACGTGATTATTAAAAACGTATGAGCTGCAGTTTGCCGAAGAAAAAAAAAACCATTTAAATGATAACTCCATATTATAACGAAATTCCGGCACGCAGACACGACCAGACTTCGGGGGTTTTGTGAACGGCTGAAGTTGGCAAGTCAAAGGGTCAAAATGAAAATACGAATTTTGAACAGCCGCGGGGCACGCGATCTCCGCCGGCGCCTGCTGCTGCGTCTGACGCGGTGGCGTTGACCCAAACTATATATTCAGTACCTACCTATAACGGACATCGGCCGACGAACCGGGGTGAACCTATCATATCATAATATCATTATGGAGTATGTGCATTATCGTGGAGACGATGTGTTGTTTTGCGTGCAACGATATCATCGATTTGAGCGAGCTGTAGTGGTTGGGAAATCGCTGTGATAGGCCGAGGTAGATTGTATTTATCAACGCACGTCCGTTTTAAATTTGATTAGGTCGTTGGAAGAAAATCGATTTTTATCGATACATAGAACGTGCGACTTTACTCTTATTGATTGGCGTGTAACGTTATACAGTGCGCAAACTAATCGCGTGCAATTAAAACTATAACCGTGTTATTTCATGAAACGTAAATCAAAATAATATAGCTCCGAATCCAGTGGTAGGTACAAAATATTAAATTTTTTAAGATGATCTAGGTATTACGATTTATGATATTTTGATATTCTCGGGAATTAACGTGCCTATACCCGTGCCTAGTATGGTGTAAAAAATCGATAATTTAATGTGTTGAAAATATATATACATATATAGGTATACGATTTTATATAATATGATATATATTTATAAATAAATAATAATATGTATTTAAAATTTAAATACCTAACATTATTGTTGATCGGTTACGTGCTGAAGTAACCTTTTTTTGAGGTGATTTCCTAAAGACCAAAACGGATACGTGGGTACCGGGCAACGGGGTTTTAGTGCGATAAAATATTTTTGATAATGATATTTGTACCCTACTATTGAATGAAAAAAAAAAAAAAAATGTAAATCAAAAGCTGTAGGTGGTTAAATGGTAGTTTTACCTCAAGTCTGAAAATTATCCGGCACGGTTCTTGTGTCGATCACAACTAAAACCGAACCCCGGCCACCACCAACACGACGTGCGTTATGTTATATACTATATAATGCTAAATACACGGTTTGTACGCGGCCAGCGATTGGGGCTACAACGGTCGTCACGACAACGCCGCCGGTAACTCTCGTCGCGCGGTCCCTATTCCGTCACAAATGGATTTCCCGGCGACGTAACGCCGCAAAATACGCACATGTACATGATGTGCATACAGGGTGATTCACTGAGCGTGCACTCCTCCCCGTTTTTCTTCTTCGATGAGGCAGTTATTCGAAATCCGATTATTGGAAAATTTGTATACCTACATTTTTGCAGACGAAATTTCCGAATTTTCGCAGAGACCTTTCGTACTACTCGCAAGGAGCGTTGTGTGCGGTGTTATATAGACTCATTTTCTTCAAACGAGAACCTCTATTTTCTACTGTGCCTTAACTATTTACGGCGAATCGTTTTTTTCTGAAAATTTTAAACCGTCAAAATCAAAATCAATTCAAAACAATTGTTCGCTAAATAATTTACAGCGAAAAAAGAGGATTACGATTTGAAAAAACCGAAGTTTTTATCGATACGGGACACTCCTTATAAGTAGGTACAGAAATCTCAAGAATTTTAAAACATGATATTTGAGTGTATTTAAACATTATACCAATCAAGTCAGAATTCGAATAAATTTATTACAAACTGAAAAATTAGAGATGACTATACTTGGTGAATCACTCTGTATATACAGCCTGTGTATACTTCAAAGACTGTGATCAACCTCAACCATGCCCCCGTATGGCTGTGTGTGTACGTGTTCCGGTATATTATGCGTATGTGTAGCAGTTCTGACGGTGAAAATCGCGTACAAGCCGTACGAGGCTGCGAACTAACCCCTCAAATCGTCGAGTTTTTCTCCCACCCATCCGCCGCCGGGGCTGCTATATCGCACCCCTATATCGTCCACAGACCACAACTAAATGCAACTTCGAATCCTGCTGCGGGGTCGTTAGCCTTAGTCCGCGATTAAGGGTTCACCGAGGCGGGCGGCGCACTACTATTAATATTATCATTATTTTATATTAAGCTGTACGTTGAGCCTTGTGCGTCCGTCGAAAAAGAGAAATTAAATTTTAAAAGGAATTCCTCGACGCCAGCTCGGAAGAGTCGGCAGTCTCATACAAAGCGATCAGTTGGTTGCACGTGCCTACAAGACCATGTCTTCGAATGATTTCGAAAAACTAATATTAAATGAGTAGAGTACCGTAATATGAATGGCATTAATTACTTTTTTTCTATTATTCTCAACAGTTACATTGCGGTCTTATATATATTTTTTTTTTTATTGAAAACCCCGATAATAATTAAAACATCCTGCGCTAGTGTGCTACAATGAAAATTAGAATTTGTCATGACATTTTTTTTATGAAAGGTATTGATTAAACTATTGTTGATGTACAGATTTTTAATACCAACGTATTACTTATTAGGTAGGTAACCTACTTGTAGAAATCACAAAAATAAACCAGTAAAACGAATGCTGTTCAACGTTGGACGGATTACTGTGTACGCTCATTAATTTTTAAATAATATCGCGTATAGTGCGTTATTAACGTTTTACTCGTCAAAATACTGCTTGATAGGCATAAAGAGTCACGGTGAACGTGACTTATGTGCAATCGGTACCTATCTACGAGTTTTAAACTGTGTGACTGAGACAGAGCGTTATTATTATGTGTGCCCATTGTACCTGTCGTTTTACATTATTCGAAAAATATCACGCAAATGTGATTGTATTGTTTCACTTTACCTCCAACGAAAGCAAGTCAACTTTAAATCTCAAATATATACGAACAAACTCGTATATCTGGTTAAATATGGGTTTCCAATTCAACGCGTTGAAACAAACCACCATAATTCCTGTGCGAAAGCAGTGGAAGTGCAGATTTATATTTTTAGGTCTACTCTTGTGTAAAAATCTACGCTTGGAAAAGCAATTAAATGCCGATTTATTGATCAAAAACGAAAGCCTAATGAGGAAAATAAAAGTATAAAAGTTGTGTTCTCTCTTAAGTTTATTATTAATAGTCATTCGCCCTGTACACCCGTAATACACTAAACGACTCGTGGTAATGGTATAAGCATGAATAGTATTATGTCGTATGCGATCAATTTTATTAATTTAAAAAAAAAATAATAATAATAAAGGCGTAAATTGCGTGCAAAACGATTTCCTGTGTGAAGCAAAGAGTTATGGATTTTCCTGGTGTTTTAATTGTGCGATCAAATTAATTTGGAAAATAAAAAAAAAAGCCACCGATGGAAAGCACTCTGTTGATATAAATATAAGTTTTATAACCTCCAATGACCTCTTTCGAAAGACTACGCGGTGCAATTGTGAAACGGCTTTTAACAAGTCCTCTCGACCGACGCCCGTTGTGAGTTTTACGAGTGTGAAACAGAAAATAAATAATAAATAATACGACAAAAGGGTGTGACCTGGTCGGCCGCAGGAGATAGGGAAAACAAGGTTTTTTCATTACCCTAATTCGTCGCACTCATATAAATAATACCTATTTATATTATATATTATATACTTACATATTATTATGTATAGGTAAGTACGCGATAAGTATAATATACGATTGGAGGAATAAGGAAAAATAATATTATATTTTTGAAAACAGGTGGCCGGACCTGTACGTGTGTTGGAAAAGTTCGCGGTCGCCGGTACAGTCGTAAGTCGGCCCCCCACCCCCCAAAAGTGAACCCTTCGCTCCCAACAAGCGTCCTATTTATCGCCATTTCCGTCAAAGCATTTCCACGCTGTGAAAGCGCGTCAGGAGACCGATTGTATATTTTTTCGTAAATCGTTTTTACCTTCCACCTGAGGTTTGAATGCGGCGTGTATACTCGGGGCCTCGATCGAATGCGGACGAGTATAGGTCAATATACCTAAGGTACCGCGTATACCGCTGTTGAACCGCTGCTATGACACTATGTGATAAGTCGGCGCCGCATCCGTGAGATGTACTTGGATCGTGAAACGACGGTATGTCCAATACGCGTCAAGTTCCTGAAATGAAATTTCTCACGCTGTACAATTTTGTCTACGCTATGAGTGCGTACAGTAACTACATTGGCTATATCTCGCTGCAGTCGTCTGGCATTGACCGCGCGACTGCCGACGCCTGTCTCGTAACATAATAAGTGTATACTAAGCGCGATAATTTGTTGTGATATTACACGAATCGTCGGGATCGTTGCCGGCTAATCGCACGACACGATAATTATTGTAAATAATAACGATAATTATTGAAGTCGTGCGACCGTTACAGGAACTGCACGAGTCACGTCGCGAGCATTAAATAGGTATTATAGGACGCGTTCATTTACGCGTATGATATTATGCAGGTGACGTTTGTGTACGACGGTCAGTCGTCATCGGTCGGCGGCGGTTGCCAAGAAGTTGTCTTCGTCTATTGAATTACGTTGTGGCGTAATTTACTATGACTGTATAGGTAAACGCAATGCTTGGGTATCGCGGGTGCGTCGGGTGCGGCACGCGTGCTATACGACACAAAACGAAACAACAAGGGCTCCCAAAATATTATATACTTACTATTCGATCACAGTGAGGCGTTTTTTTAACGCACGACTAAAAAAACGTTTTATCATAATACGTACTTGATCTCGAATGTGGTGTTCGCGTAGACGTCGAACCGACGAGGTGCAGAGTTGTTTCGGAGTCCGGTCGTCGGCTTACATTCGTCTCTTTGGCTTGTGCGGCGCACCAGCAGTCCGCCGTCCCTGCATCCGCGGCCGTTGTTCGAGTCGCACTGAAAACGTTTGCAAAGGGAAACTCGCGGACCGACGTGTGTGTGTGTGTTGGTTCACCGCGGATGAGATGTCGTGCCCGGTCGCCGTCGCCGTCGCTCGTCGTTCGCGCCCTTCGGGGCGGGCGCGGCGGATGCGTGTGCGAGGGCCGCCGCGTTGCAACGCACAATTCGCACACCGCTTTCCGCCACCACCGCCCCAGCAACGCCGCTGCAGGTGGAATCAATAGCCGAACTCTAAGGGGTGGAAATGGCGGCGGTGAAGACGGCGGCGGCGGCGGTGGTGGTACTTTTCCCTTTTATTTCCCCGCCGCCGGGCGAGTCGTCGTGGCGTGCGGGTGCGAGGGAGGGTTAGCCGTAGTAGATAGGGCGGCCACACCCTTCGGACACACGCGACCCTCGTACACACGCACCCCGCCACCACCCTCCCCTCGACGAATAAACCCACCCCTCCGCTTTACGATCGTAGCCGCCGCTACCGCCACTGCCGAGTCTCTCGTTCCACTGTTGCGGGCACTCGGCGTGAATGAAAATATTATGACTGTACCGTGGGCACTTTCCGTCGTCGTCGTCGTCATCGGCGGTGTTAGAGGCCGTCCCTTCCATTATTCATAATTAATTTTTCCGACGTGGCGAGGGGAGGGCGAGATTTCGTCGGGTGATATTTTGCCGGCGGAATCCCTGCGGGGTACTGCTGCAAGCTCAGGCCCCTTCTCATGTTATATACATCGCACGACGGGCATTGTGAACTGCACGCGTATTTAATACATACTTTATACCTACTCGTATATATTATATTTTGCTAAGCTTGCAAGTTGCAATATTATATCATGTTAAATTGTATTATACAAATATATATATATATAACGTCAGATAATATATTGTTATGAGATGTTAGATTAGGAAAACTAGTAATGTATACATTGCAAGTTGATATAATTACTATAAAATAAATATTTTTTTGCTGTATTTTAACGTCATATACTATCTACAGAAAATAATATTTAAACATTTTTATTTTATTTTTAATAGTATTCATAACTTCGCCGATAAGAGGATAAGATCCTTTCACGGACTATAATATCACACATCATTAATGTGATTATTTAAATGGTCAATAAATTATTATTAAAATTTAATATGATCTATACGATAAAGTAATAATTTAATATTAATTATAAGTTTTTACTAGATACATAATAGCATAGTGGTATAGTATTGATGTGAATATAATAATGCGATATTAAAAATTATTTAATACACATTTCAGTTTAATCATTAATCAGATTGATCGACAGTAGGAATCAACATTTGCGGGTTACACGATATGTGAAGCTACATATATACATATTATATTAAATATCATCGGTCCTATTTCTGCACTAAAAACAATTCATATCTAGGCCCAGATCAAGTGCATTTGAGTAAAATAATATCGATAACTCTACCTACATTATAGCCTAGAATAAGTAGGAAAGAAAAAATCTGCTCAATATACAAAGTATCCCGTTAACAGCTGTTAATTGTAATTAATTTAATTATTTTTAGTCGACTTGTTAATTTAATAAGAATAATATTGTATCCCCCAACTGATTTTTCTATAGTTAATAATATTAAAATTAAATTAATATAATATTTAACCTATATATTTCATATAATAATTATATTTATATTTCTGACAAAACTACACACTCAACTCTGTAACATTATTTAATAATTAATACTATATTTATAGAAATAAGAAATAAATATTATAATTAATAATATTTCTTATCACTATTATGTTACTATTTTTTTTTTTTTACAAATATCATTGCGACGATTGATTGGTTGGGACACTTTTGTCTTTTGGTGTATGAATATATTATATTTCACAATTTTTAGATGTGAACAATTTGTATATATGTCGTCATATCCTTCCACTCCACATCAATGTAATATAAGAAGTTCCCAACGCCAAGACTAGTTAAAGGCATGTGCGAGCAGCGCATTCGTACAAGGCGGCAATATGACCATCAATACTGAGTAGGGTATTTCATTGAACATGTTTTAAACTTAAAATTATTTAAAAACAGAATAATTAACTCCAAAAAATGTGGAATAGTTTGAGATAATATAATTTCCAAAAAAATCAGTTAGATCCCTTAATTTTTGCTTTATCGATATAATTGTTTATTTTTAATGAATTCATAACAGGCATTATAGTGTTTATTGGCATTGACTATAAATTATAAATAATCCTTGATTTAAATAACTGTGTCACTTTTCCACTGAGGTCTGTTTTAACTGCATTAAATTATACACGTTTTTTTTTTCATATTATGTAATAAGATTACTTTTTTGTTCGTCGTCACCAAGTAAATAACAATATAATTATACTTTGTATAACAGCTCCATGGCAGATAAAAAATCAACAAATAAATAATTATTGTAAATTGTTAGGTAAGTTAGACTTTTTACCCGAGATAACTTTAAAAATATAAATAACTAATGGACATGGTATGACTGCAGGATAAAATACAATTATTTAACAACAGTTATAAGTTAAAAAGTATCTAAACATTATTTATAATTAAGTCATTAAAAACATTTTAAGCACATTAAAAACATTATTTTGTTTGTACTTGTTCAGAAATGGGTTATACGAGTATCCAGGAAACTTTTTTTTTAATTTTACATAGTGTCTTGTATATTTTTTCATTACTGCATATAAATATGTTTGGGTGAATTTAATAATATTATTAAGAACATATTTTATCTTACTTATAACCCATTTAATGGCGAAGTAAGAACAATGTAAATATTTATTGTAAAACACTAAAACTTAATATTATTTTCAATGAATAAAAAATAATTTTTATGTATATCATGTCTTTATTTCACATAAGTTATTAATACAACTGTACTTAGAAGGATGGATACCACACGATTTAATGGGTGGAAAGGGGGGGGCACAGTCGAGCACGTAAGTGATAGACATGAATTGGAGGGGGGGGGAGGGGCCGGGCCAAACTAAGCATGGCCGGGTACGTACGTTATGATAACATACAACTGTGGGCTTGGCAGGATAGTCGGATTCACCGGTTTTGCGGGGGATCCAGAACATACTAAAACATATTACTGAGCACTGACGTGGATTGGCGATGCTTGTTGGGTTTAGGAACTCACTAAACGGCGTGGCTCATGAACAGCGGTTATTATGGACTTATTTTATTAAGATGAATTGTACTGTTAACAATAATGTCAATAATTGTTAATAATATTACCTGATCCATTGGAATTTTTGTTATATTAGAACGTTCTTTGTGTTTCGGAATATTTTGTCCATTGGCATGATACAATTTGGAAATTAAGGAGTACCCTTCAGTAAGGGCAATAAAATGCTGGCATAGTTTTTAGTTTCTATAGTTGATAAGGGTTGTTTTTCCAATTCATTAATTGTTTTCTTCAGCCCATCAATTTCTTTTAAAATTACTTTGTTAATTTCTACAGTCGTTTTATTCTTGGATTCGTTAAAAAAAAAAAAAAATTAAAAATTATAATAATTTTTATACATTCTAAACTTAGTGCTTACTAATTTCGCAATTGAATATACATTACCAGCTAAACTAAATTATAATAAAACTAATGTGGCTTGGCGTAGCGCGTTGGCTGCTTTCAGTTGCGGAATGCCACTGGGAGTAAGTGACGGCCACAGCTACTAGCTCTCGGATGGGTGACCATTCGGGATCATAGTGGTTAAAAACCTTGCCACACATACACGTGTGCTATCAACCGTATCAATCGTAAAAAAAAATACAACCTACCGAACCAACCTTACTTAAAAAAACCCAATGGCCTTAGTAGCCGCGGGTCAACTAAATAAAAAAAAAAAAAATAAATAAAACTAATATAATGAATTTCATGTTCATTTTTTTTGTTTTAACATCTACGGTATAATTATCTTCAATCTAAAAAAAAAAATACGTAACAAATTGTTATTAACAATATTATTTCCAGTTACAAATAACTGGAAAAACATAACAATATTATATACTTACATCGATTATACAAGAATTTGTACATGATTTGTCTTGTTGTTTCTGAAATAGCCGATCTTTCTAATCTTGCCAATTCACTGATCTATATAAATAAGAATATTAGAAAATAAATATTTTATAAGTACCTATATTATTTATTTAAATGTTTTTATGTGCATTAAGAACTTCATATAATAAATTGTAAAACATGTCGATTAATTTATAATAGTTCATTAACATTTAATATGGAACAAATAGCCATTTTTAAGAAATCATTTGTCAACTATTGATTAAAAAAATGTTTTTCGTCTCAGCATTAATATATATTTTATATTTTATTGATTAAGAAGCCATAGAAATATGATTATAAATATAAATATTAAAATAAAAATTGATGTAACATAAAAACAAAGCTGGACACTAACTAGTTAGATAGTATCTTTTCTACTCTATCTCAATTTACTATTTTCAACAAACTAACTTTTAATTACCTAAGTTAAGAAATACCAAAATAACTTAATTTTAATTAGTTTACAAAATTAACCAGCTTTGCATAAAAATATAAAAGATATTTTTATTTTTATTTTATTAGTTATTTTATATGTTATACTATAATTGTTTACCATTTTTTTACAAAATATATTATCAGAAGACAACTTTTCTTCAAAAAATTTTCCCTGATAGAGAATTTAATATAATATCATCATCCATATCACCTATATTTAAAAAATATACATATATATTAAAAAAATTATTTCAATTATAACTTTTTTATTTACTATTTATAATAATATAAACAATATACTAATAGAACCAGTAGCGATTATATCTCAAAGTTTTGGAGAGGGGCAAATTTCATTTTCAAAGGTGAAAAAACCTCCCTCCTACTCTGTTTATAGGGTTCAACTTACGCCTTCTCCCAATAGTCGAAAACTCCAAAAGGGTGTGGTCTACACATTACTGCCCCCCTAGTTATCTGGCACTAAAAAGAACTAAAAAAAACTGTGAATTATATAGTCCAAACTGAAGTTGTATAATTGTGACAACCAATTAATCCTATAACCATCTTAATTACAAAGAATATTTATTATTGAGTATA